CCAAAGGTGGCTCAAAAATGTCTTCCCTAGTCTGTCTATCCTAACGATATCCCTTCCCGCCTTTTCAACCCACCTCCTATGCCCCAGTACAGCTACCGTCCTTTCCTCTCTATTCCATGCCTCAAACATCTCCCTGTACGTTCCATCTATTTTTCCCAGCTCAGTCACGTACACTTCCCTCTCCTTGTACCACGGACATTCCGCGACTACATGAACACGGTCTTCGCATTCAAAGCCGCAATCACATTTGAACTCGTCGTCTTCCTCGTCTACCGTCCTATGTATATAGGGGGAGTGGGGGGGGTCATTTTCCTCTGCAACATCGCTCCCTCTTCGTGAGGGCGGACTCCGGTCGACGTCGCAGTCGTAATTGTAGGTGTCGTTCTTGCGCCCTTGTTACCAATATGCTTGTTCTCGGAATCCGAGGGCACCCTTCTTGGCGGTTCTGGTTCCGCGCGCCATACCCCCTTGTCGATGGTTGTTGCCGAAGCAGCGTTTGGCTGGTTGATTGAGTTCCCGCCCACCGTCGCATGACGGCGCCGTCCGTCCGTCCGTCCGTCCGTCCCGCTCTTAGGATCATCTACCCGATCGACTCGGTGAGAAGGCGCATGATGATGGAGACGGGCAGGAAGGAGAGGATGTACAAGAGCAGCTTCCACTGCTTCCGGACGATGGTCGCCACGGAAGGCTACCGCGGATTCTACCGGGGGCTGTCGGCGAACCTCATCAGGGGCATGGGGACGTCGATTCTGCTGGTGCTGTACGACGAGATCCGGGCCCTCATGGAAGCGACGCATTGAGAAGAGAGGGGGAGAAGGGGAGGGCGGTAGGCACGGGGGGCACGCGGAAGGGAGGAGGAGGGGATTACTGCTAGATTGACGGGATGTAACACCTGCCGCACTTTTTCTGGCGTCACAGTATTGTCCCGCCTGCCAGTCTGTCGGTAGTCCAGAGGGTTATTGAAACCGCGGACACCCGACTTGTAATCACGATTTTGGCAACGATGCTATTGAGTTGCTCTACCCATACCATTGCGATTGGTGTGTAGCCCACATCTTGAAATGATTATATATTACCTTTGTTTTTTGCGCGGTGCTAAGGGTTACCGTTTTTTTTGTTGTGTTTGACTGCTGTTCCTGTTGCCACGTTTATAGCACTTTTGGTCCGAAAACGACCGCTGAAGACAAAAAAGTAGCGTGGTACTTTCCACATGCTTTGCCGAGAAGGCTGGAGAGTGTGTCGTATATGTGCAACACACATCCCGGAGACCTTTCTTTTTTTTGTTCGCTGCTTGGAGGCTTGGGGTTGATGCGACTACGACCCGCCATGAGCAGTGGCTGCGGAAGGGAAGGGGATGGTGCAAAAGAAGCAGGTTGTTGTCGTCATTGCCTGTGCGTCGTTTGTGTATTGGATAACGGACGTACGGTAGTAGCAGCAGCGGTGAGCCGGCGAGAAGAACCTCCAAAACGGCGCCGCTGCTTCACTGTTCATTCCTGTGTGATTATGTTTGCCTCGACTCTCAGTATCGTACCATGTGGTACGTGGTTTAGACAAGGATACGCAGACGAAAAGCAGCGGCGCGTAAGGCATAGAGGGGGCCTCCAGATAGCGATGGCGGGGGGTATGCTTGGACCCTGGGGGAAGAAATGGAGTAAAGAGCCACAAGCCAAGTCAGCAGGTCCTTTCGAGCGAGGATGCCGTGGTGTGTGTGTGTACGCGCGCGCGCCAGTGTGTGTTTTCTATTTTTTTTTGCATCGACCGCGCTACCAGACTGACCCCCTGAAAATATCTCAGTCGTCGTAGTAGCGGTACATGAAAGGCGAACGAACACGCTTTCTAGTGTGTGTGTCTGTGTGTGTGTCTTTCTTGAATTGTTTCTTGAATTTTGGTCAATCGCGCTGACCGGCTGGTTGACGATTGAAGAAGAAGTGTGTGTGTGTGCGCGCGTTCTTTTCTGTTATCCTTTTTGCGCATGCCGCGATCCGCCCCCCCCACCGTTGTTCATAAACTTCCGACGGAATATTCTTTTGTGTATTTCCCGGCGCTTTGTGTCGACCGAACTCGGTTGCCCGGAAGCGGCAGTTCATTCCTTTCCTTGTAAAACCCCGAGCGAGATGCTCGTTGATATGTCGTTCGTAGTTCTAGACTCGGCGGCAGAGGAGATGCCTGTGCGTCTGTATCACAGATAGACGGGGCCTAGGGGGCTGGGGGGAAGGTTGCCGGAAATTTTGCGTGGGGGGCGGGGGGCTTAACTGGTTGCGAGGTTTAAGGGAAACGCCCGAGTGGGCATGTGGTGATGTATTCGTTTCGGAAAGAGCTGTCTTGAGCGGGTGGGAATCAGTGCGCATATTTATGGTCACTTGCAGGTTAAATGAAATGAGTTTCCATGTTAGGGGCAGTGACGAGAGACCGGTCTCCTGTCACGCGAAAGGACGGAGTGTGGTGCTGGTCGCGTGTAGAGAGAAAGGTTTAGATAGAGGGTACCCAAAATAGAGGAGACCGACCGTAAGAGTGTGTCGAGTGGCACTGTACTTGGAGGTTACATGTACGTTATGTCCCTGAGAGATGTTATTTTGCCGAGCCGGAGGGGGCGTTTTGTTCTAAGAGTGGCAGAGAGGAAGCAAATTAACAAGTAGCGTGTGCGATGCTTCACGCGTCCCACGTCGTCGTTCTGTAGGACAACGCTCTACTCGGAATCACAAACGATATTGTGGAGATACTGCATTTGTATATGCTTGCTCCCCCGATTTTTTGGGAATGAGGTTGTTAAGGGCATCATCAGCACTTTCAATTTTCGGGAGAGTTTGGCAAGACGGGTGTGTAGCGGCGTACGTGCGTACGACATGTTCCTTTCCGGGCACCAAGAGGTCTTGTAATGACAATCGTGGTTGGATACAAACGCGCACCCTTCATGTCCTTCGTGTTAAAATGACTGACTACGGCCGTCCTCTTGGCGATTAACCATATCTATCTTCGGTGCGTTTTCCTTGCTCGCTCTGTTGTTGGGGACGCTTTGTTTGGTCAGGGCGCTTCAACAACCAAATCATCAGTCGATACGATTTCGTTCCTACTCGAGAGACTTTGCATTCAGCAGCTTCGTTTTGGACCTAAACACATGTTTTCCATATCTTTCACGGAACCTCTGGTGTTGACGTGGCCGGTGTAGTCTGTTGTAGCGAACCGATGTACGAAGTACTACTGTACCGCACCACCGTAGGTTCAAAGAGAAATGGTGGGTCAACACCACTATCCTGGATGTTTAACAAGCATAGAGGTAGGGACCGGATGAAAATGTATTAATTTGCTGATGAAATAGCATGTTGCACGAGAAAAGAAGAGAAGGAAACAGAAAGCCTAGACCAGAGGGACAGTCTGAAAAAAATGAACGACGCATTTTGAGCAGACACAAGACAGCCGGCGCGTTTTTTGTCCCCCTACAAGACTCATCTTTTTTCTTTCGTCCCAGTCGGTTGCGCTATTGATGGTAGTTACATGTTGTCACCTACTTGCAGTACCCTCTCCCAATTCCCAATAGCTCCCACCAGTGTTGGAGTGACAGCAGCCGTTGCAACCCGCGCACCCGTGCAAGATCAACCGAATTGATATGGCCAATCGAAAAACGGCACCAATCAAACCGCGCAAACCGATACGATGGCCAATCGAAACGGCAACTAAACCGCGCAAACCGACACGAAATATAGTGGATGAGTGGATGAGTGGAGGCGATCATCCATACGGCCCGATCCTCTGCTGATACGTCACCTCGACATGGTAGTACCAGCCATTAAGCTTGTGGTCATTTCATGGGTAGTTGTTCGTCATCCCGTGGTGGCTCTTTCCCAAGAAGATGCCAGCAGCAACAACAGAGCATCCAGCGGTGAGGGAAAATTTACCCGCAGTGTATCTTTGTGTATCTTATGCAAACATACGATAATCACAGGCGCCCGTGCAAGGAAACGTAGCAGCCGCAGCGCTGTCGTGCTGATGTCGATCGCTGATCACCACTGATCTCCCTATACCGGTAACAAATGAATGGTAATTCGCAACGTTCAGCCCAATATGTGCATACAACGTTCGAGAGGCCCCAGAGTCACCGTCGCTTGTAATCAGCTCAACCACGGCTGCCACTAAAACCAAGAGTCTAACATAAATAGGGGCGAGAGAGAGAGGAGAGAGATATCGGATCTTCCCTGATGTGTCACTCAACGCGTCAGTGTCGGCCTATCTATGGTCCTGCTCCGAAACAAGAAACAACTAAACTGTGAAGGTCATGACAAGAAGTATTCAGGCTGAACAGGCACAAGTATATCTAGCGTATGGATCTGTGAGATGTGTGATAGTAGATCACTGTTCTCCAGGGATATTTATTCTGCTGATTCCCAACAGCTACGAATCGTTAATAAATCTTTGGAGACCGGGAAAATGAGTCCACGAGGGCCCAACCAACACTCTGCACCACCTTAGCTTGACTGAGTTCGCCCGATCCCGAGTGCCATCCCTCGCCACATCGCACCAAAGAAAAAAGCCAGCGTCCGATGGTGCTGTAGGTCATAGCCACAACACTCAAGGCTCTCAGCTCACCCTCATTGGCGTCGACGAAGCGTTTAGTTGTGTAATGCTGTGGACCTGTAGGTTACAGTACATTAGTACCGGGCGCTTCGCTGTCGCCGGTTCGCACGCAGGCTGTTTGTTTGTCCATGCCACGTGTGTGCGGGCGAAGTTTTGAGATGAAGTTGGACTTTCCACCGACGTCGCGCCTCTTGATGACGCCCAAGATCTGTCTTGGGAAGATTTCGTCGAGGTCAACACAGCCCAAGACGAATTCAACGTTCCGCCGACTGTCCGGCGGATCAACGCCATCTGGGCGCTCGAGGCGTGCACACCCTGCCGGGTATGCTCCGAGAATCGGTCAATTCACACGGCTGCACCAACAGACAGGCGGGCCCGCGGAGCAGCATGGACAAGGATCTCTTCATCACTCTCGCCAGCCTCTGGCTGGACCCGACGGATGAAACGGACGATGGAGAGGCACACTATTATGGATATTATGTAATACCCTGGCACAGTGGTGTAGAGGCTGTGTCGTCGACGTTAGTCGAGGTGACGACACGTGCGAGAGGGTAGCCTGGAAGACGAGAGTCCTTCCACGTAGTGACGAAGATGTTGAGATATTTGAACACTGGCGCTCAGGTGGCCAACATAATCCGAAAGGATCACACGAGAGAGTGAGCTACTCGGCTATCAAGCACCACGCAGAGAATCCTGCGAGAGTAATTCCTCCGCATACACATAATTATACGTTACATTCGAACCGACACATATGAGATCTACGATATACAAGAGCAGTGCTACTGAACATTGATTCATACTGGTTATGTGCTAACATTTCCATAACACTCCCCTTCAATGAAAGTTGCTCTGAATTGTACCAAAGTACAGTGATGAAAATCAAATCAAGCAAGCACTCGTTTTCTGCGCAACGTAACTCATTCGTTTCATGCGTTTCAAACACTAACGTACCATCCATGTGATATTTCATGTTTTGCGCTTGCTACAACACATTTTTGCGCTTGCAAGAAGTACCTGCTATTGTTTCTTGCATAAACCAAAGCACTATAACTTTCAATCCTACATGGCTCGTTCAACCTGTTGGGATTTGTATGCAAGAACTGACTCTATTCTACTGCATGGGTTTTGTGCAGTATTGTGAAGGCGTGTCTCCAAGTCTGTAACCGTCAGGTGAAGACAGCTTGGGCGCCTGTGTTTTGGATCTAATGATCACTCTGTGTTGTATCTACCCAAACTGCGCCACCACTGCCAACTACACAACAAACAGCAACTACAATTCTGTTGTCA